CCCCAGCTCCGGAACTGCACCACAGACGCGGGGCTAGCCCATCTCCCCAAGACCCCTACTGGGGGGCATTCCTGGCCGCTTGCCCTAGGCCAGGAGGGAGAGACCAAGGGAACAGCACCTCCCACTCTCACCACCTGCCACACACCTCCCGGGATAGCAGGCATTGGTGTGGGGAGGCCAGCGCTGCTGTGGAGACCAGTTGACCAGTTTGAAGACCACCACCAGGACAGGAGACTGAGACGCTGAGACCATCCAGGCCCACTGTCCCACAGGCTTTTGAAACAAGCAATGAAAACCTGAACCTCAGAATTCCAAGAGCGCCAAGATCACCCAGTCCCAGCTGGGCCCTGTGCCTGCCTGAACCCTGCCCCGCACAGGGCTCGCCTCCTGAGCTTGGCCACTCCTGCAGGTGAGGCTGTGTGGGAGACACCTTGGGGGGCTGGGACAGTCATGGCGAGGTCCCTGTGCTCTTTGGAACTCCTCCCGAAGAAATACTCAGGAGAAAATTCCTCACAAGGAATAATAATTTCCTCTCTGGAGCCAGCACCCAAGACTCTTGCAGGCCACTCAGCAAACGGACAGCCCCTCCCTAGTTCTGGTCCCCTGAGAAGCCTGAGACCCTCCCACTCGGAGGGTCAGCGGCAAGCCTTAGGGCTCAGTTCTGGTCCTCCACTCCCTCACCCTGCCCTTCACCAGGCAGCCCCCCAGCCTGGGAACAGCTGGCGTCTCTTCCCTCTTCCTCTACCCACTGATCTTTGGGGGGGGTGACCCACTTCCTGTGCCCTGCCCGCCAGGGGCCAGGGGACACCGATTCTCTGGTCTATTTCATAGAGGACGCAGCCAGGTGCAGAGGGAGGAGTTACAGCTCCACAGGTATCGCTGGGAGTGAGTTCTCAGGGCTCCCACCCCAGTCAGTCCTGGGCCAGCCTGCCCCACCTCGGAGATCCCCACCTGCTGGACCCATGTCTCAGGCACTGGTCAGGAGGCCATCAGGGTCCAGCCCAGGGTAGGGTCAAGAGGAGTGCCTTGGGGCAGGCAGCCAGAAGGCCTTCCTGTTGGCTGGCCACTGGACAGGTGGTGTGTGGGCGAGAGGAGGCAGTTGAGGACAGCGCCCCTCCCTGTACCGCAGCAGCTCAGGTCTGGGGGAGGTGCACTGGCTTTGGGGACAGGCAGTGAGTGGACTCCCACGGCAGGCAGAGCCACCAGGCTTGTCCTCACACCACACCCAGGAGTAGAGGGTAGCCAGGGCCACACCCAAGGCATTTCCTGGCCTCTGGGGAGGCTTTGGACCCCACCCAGCAATGACACTGTTCATTCAAAGCTACTTTCCTGTCTTCCGGCTGGCCAGGGCTGGGACTGCAGCCCTTCCCTCCACCCTCCCAGCAGGAAACTGCCCAGACTGGCTGGTAGAAAAAGAATAAGTCATGTCATTTATTTGGAATGGGCACATGGTTGCAAAAACAAAATATTAAAGACAGAACGTTTGACAACAAATAACATCAAAATAAATACATAGATAGTCCAATAAGTTAATGCGCCCGCGCAGCGGGGCGAGGTTCCGCACGCACGGGAACGTCCTCCTCTTTGGGGCAGGAAAGCGGCGCCTTGTCCTCGCGTGGTCAGCGGTGTACCGCCCGCCCGAGCTCCCGCCGTCCCGGGCACCCCTTGGGCTCCTGCCCAACACGGCCATGCGGCCGGTTCGGCCAGACTGGTCCGGTGTGGCTCTGTGGGGAGAGGGCTGGGTCAGGCAGGCGTGCCAGAGCGACTCGGGGCGCAGCTTGTGGGTCCCCGAGATCCTGACGCGAGTGGGGCAAGGGACGGCTCCTGCCGCGCACCGGAGACGCCGTGGTTGTGCGGTGCCAAGCCCCTAAGGTAGCAAAACCTCCCTCCGGAATCGGAAGTTGGAGTTTTCCCAAGGGCGCGGGTCTCCGGCCGAGGGTCACGGCCCACACCCCGAGGGCTCCCCGAAGA